GTGTGTTTCGCGGCAAAGCGGGCGCCGAAATGTCCTTTTCGGGAAAGGTACCGTGCGGTCGACCCGAAAAGGAAAGTCGGGCGGTGTCCGGGTGTCTGGGGCAGGACCAAGCAGGACCAAGGGGCGACGCGTTGGGTGGCATTGAGTGACGCGGTGCCCCCTCCGAGCGACATCCACACACGCGGTTTCGGAGTGCCTGGGATCGGGAAACCGGGTCCTTTCCGTCGGACCCTTCCCAGCACCGTTGTTGCCGTTAGCCTGCCCGCAACGGCGGCTTTTTGTATTCAAATTTTCTTTTGTTTCTCTTCGTTCCTGTCTGTCCTTCTCGCATGTCCGCGGTGATGCCTGTGGGCCTTGGTCCGTTTGCACACGGGTGACGCTGACATTCTCGCGGCCAACGGCGTCGACAATCCATCACACGTGCACGCACGGCATGGATACGGAAATGGACGAGTGGGATGTATCTACGTTCCTCCTGGTTCTCATCCTTTTGCAGTGGATGAACCATAGGAACGTTCTGGCGATGGCCGTCATCCAAGCGGCGTCTGCGGTTCCCTCGACGGTGCCAGGCATGTCCAATGCTCTTCTCCTGCTGGGTGGCGCGGTGATGCACGGCATGGCGTTGACATCCGCGGTTGCGGCGATGGCAGGTCGGCGTATGGATGAGAGACGACGCGTTTGGGTTTTGCAACGCAGCGGCGGTGTGTGGGAGGATCTCCAACAACTTGGCAGCCAGCACGAAAAGGTGTTTCAGCATTTCTGCAGGCTCCCCCGACCATTGTTTAACGAGGTGCTAGCTCGCATTGCTCCTCATATCTAGACGCAGGAGACAAATTGGAGACAGCCTTTGCCGGCAGCTTAGAAATTCACTTGCGGGCTCATGCGATGGGCGACAGGAGGGTTCTATAGGCAATCGGCACACTCACTGGGTATGGGACTTGCAAGTGGCCTGCACAGCAATGAGGATGTCGCTGATGCTCTCATCAGGGAGTATGGGCAGCTGCTTCAATTCCCGACTGGCCAAAKGYTTCAAGASACAATTGACGCTTTCGAACRGAAARGGTTCCCCGGTTGTGTCGGGGCAATCGATTGCACCCACATTTACATAGAGAAGCCGAGGAACAGGAGGGGAGAGTGTTATTACGATCGGACAGGCCAGTTTTCGGTGGTCGCGGAAGTGGTTTGCGGCCATGAATGCCGTATCACTAGTGCATACATTGGCAGTCCCGGATCAGTTCATGACAGTCGCGTGCTACGAGTCTCCCCTGTTTATCGACAAGCACAAGGGGGGACGGGTGTGTTCGCGACTGGGAGTGAAGTCCTGCGCGATGGACGGAGGGTGGGCAGGTACTTCCTGGGTGACGCCGGTTACCCGCAGCTGCCATGGTTGATGACACCGATTGGAGGGAACAACAGGACGCCAGCGGAGCAAGTTTATGACGACTGTCACACGTCAGCGAGGTCTTGCATCGAGCGCACGTTCGGCCGCTTGAAGAAGGTGTGGAGAAACTTCATGCGCCGTCATATCGCGAACATGAAAACTCTTTGTAAAGAGTTCATGGCCATTTGCATACTCCACAACATCATGGTGGAGTCGAAGGTGGAGATCGATCCGGAGCTTTTGTCTGATGATAGCTCGAGTGAGGAGTGTGATGATCAGACGATGGCACGCCGCAGACGGCGTGGCACACGAAGACGGCCCGACGGTCCTCCTCCACCTCCAGAGGAAGACGCTGCGTGCGCCATGGCCTTGGGGAAGGAGTTGAGGGAGAGCCTGATTGACCATGTCGCGCACCACGCGCGTCTGCACGGAGCTCCACGACCGAACCCGTGGCAGCGTTGATGTTCTTCGGGTGTTTCATGTTTTTTATGAATGGAAAATGCGACTTTTGACAGGACTTGATTGCGCACAT